ATTTATAGCTATTTTTGACGTTTCCACAAGGTGGGAATTATCGAGAAAATTTAATTTTTTTCTTAAACACTTAGAACTTCTTATGGTTCGTTTAAGTACTTAATATACCTAATGTTGCTCAGTAAATGCTGCCCGTAAATGCGTTCCCACTGGTGTGGGATGAATAATCAAACATTTACAAATTTTGGAAAGTTGCTTGCAGGACTCGCAGACCTGTATGTGTGGCCAATGACCAATGACCCTGATTTATATGCTCGGTAAGTGGACGATGTCTTGCTTCACAAGTCTTATCCTCACCGCAACCCCAACCTCAGGCCTAATACGAGCCTTGAATCCAAACCCCACCCCACAAGCAACCCTACAAATGAGCCTGGTCGTAACCTTATCCGTTACCAGTAAAGTAACCGTAACACCACCACTTATCCCTTATCGTAACAGTTGCTCTTACGGAAACCAAAGCAAGCCAATTAAATGGAGTATACTGTAATCGAAGAAGCAGCCTGTGCAGACCTAGTACTATCCGCGAATGAGTGGGCTTTTAGCTAGATAACATGCTGTAAGTACGGTAGATTATTAAGTATTTGTAAACTGATGCCTGCCTGTTTGCAGTTTGTTATTTTCCAGTTAATGATGAACGCCAACTTACATATTAATACAAACATTAAGGGCGACTCTATAAGGCCTTGATTAGAACGACTTACTTCAAAACCACGTAGTCATTTTGCAGGAGATTATGAGGCTGAAACCCAAAAATTGGCGTATCTACCGCAAAGGCTATGGGGAACTTTACAGAGTCCACTCGTAAGTTGAAGCCCTTGCAGTTGCAATGCACAGCCCTAAAAGATGCGATCGCTCCAACGAGCACGTTAGCAGCTGGACGTTTCGAATTCCCCTCATGCTCATCATGAGATACAGGTCCCTCATAAATTAAAAAGCACAGCAGAATTATCATCACTGAGGTTCTTTAGCGAAATCATCCAGTAGAGAGGAAGACCGACTTGAAGGAAGCAAATTAAAGATATTAGTGAAGACCGGAGAGGATGGACGTACGCTTATGGACAGAATCGATGTGCGTTTGCAGGGCTGGCTTTTGGGAAAAGCCTTTGGCACAAATGTCGCAGGTCCACCTTCGAATATCTGAAAAATGAGAAAAGAGAAGCATTGCACATCGTTCAAAATAAATCCTATGGATGTTAATCGCCGGCCTTTAATACTTTTAAATGGGCAATTTGATGGGTTAATTGGCGACTATAATCTAAGAAAGCCAGCATAGCGACGCCATAGGCCTTCCAGGACTCCAAAAACGCATACTATACACAAGTGAATTTGGGGTTCGTCAATCAAAACTCTACCGACTGTTCCCAATACCGCATACTCTACGCATGACTCGTAGGCCAACTAATATACATAATTAAACCAATGAAACCTACCAGTACCGGCTGCGGTTTGGGTTCCGGTAAAATGACATACCGGTGGCCAGGCACCTATACTGCAGTCATATTGGCCAGCTATCCCATACAGGAGAAGAAAGGCTGACGTTCGCTAACATCTTATTGACGGTTAAACGGCAAGGTAATAAAGTCTAAGCGCGGCCCGCCCCCTGCTACTCCTGTTGAAGTCCGCACACCCAGTCGATGAATGGTCGGAAGTCCGTGTATTGCCCAAAGCAGGTAAGCGAAGGTTGCTGACAAGGCTCAGGGACAGGAAGGATGCATCAATGTGGAACGAAGGAAGGCATGTCGAGGCAAAACGCACAATGCCTCTGGAATGCACGGCAACAAGATCGTGGTCATATCGACGGGCGGAAGTCCAACTCACTTGGCTCGTCTAATGCGAATGTTATTCTTTAATTACTAATAGCGATTCATATTTCGTAAGAGGGTTTTAGTTTGCGCGGCAACCGTCGATGACGAAAGCAGTCGGCCAACGAAGATAGACAATGCCAGAGTAGCAGGCTGCTTAGAGAAAGTCAAAGGAATATTGCGTACATACGCCCAGCACACGCAGTCGCAAACAGTACACGGGTCGAATCCCGGCCGCGGAGACAGGCGAAAGACGGTCACAATTTTCCAACATAAGGAGAATACGGACTCGGCAGATCGACTAACATCAGATATTTGAGGTAACGAGGACTGCAAAACCAACAGTAATGGCCCTCTACCATAGCGAAGGCATATACAATATTGTTGTCCGCGATCCGATTGTTAGCTCTGCAGTGGAAGATAGTTGTTGGATCATATTCCACGAAGCCGCGGTTAAAGTCCTTGGGCAGGTTTGGACTAATACACAGACTGGCAGCATTAGAGAATGCTAACTGCGTCATCTTAAGGTAATGCCGGCTGACGTGCCACAGGGAACCGAGCCCAGGAGGCTGTGGCTTAATTGGAAAGAACGATTAGTAGGAGATATATGGGTTAAACTAGAAATTCGTGAAAAATGGCAAGCTATGGCAGTTCTATGCTCTACGCGCAGTTACGACTGTGTGCGACAGTGAATACTTGCATATCCCAAGTTGGGCAAAGTAATATGCGTTTCAAGAAGAAATAGGTGATGGACTGGGACGCGTGGACCGTGGCCAATGTCGGCGGTCGAATATTGTGAGTCTTCGGGTAAGAAGGTAAGAAAAAGCAGTTTGCAAACCACAAAGTTGCGCAGGGCCATACGTACTGCCAAAGAACATTGGCGGCTGACAGTGTGCTCAACGCCGCTGACGGAAGGCCCAGTAGGAAAGGAAACAGCATGGTGGTCGAAGCCCGGAAAACCCGCAAGCATAGCGGACGCTCAAACGGGCGACTGAATGGTTAGCTAGCAAATAGTGAAACAGCACTAGCACTTAAACGGTCGGCGGAGAGGTTAACCGATAAGAGGGAACAGTCTGCCCAAACCATACGCGAGGACTGGCACCCACCATTACTGTGGCCGCGAGCCTTCCGAAGGGTTGTGGTTGAGATCAAACAAAAAATAGAAAGCGGGTTATCTAACGGGGATACATAGAAAACACCCTCTCGCCCACGGGGCGGGAAGGTGGCACTGAGAGCAGCAGCCAAAGTGATGGACTCCGGGAGGACGAACGACAGGCAAAGGAATCATATGTACTGAGGTCGCGTGAACAGATTTAATCTGATAACAAAAAGCTACTTTCAAATTCTCAGTAGACAGATTTTTTTCACCAATTCTAACTTTCCAGCCCGCGAAAAAATGTAGTACAATTGAACCTCAGGTGACGAGCAGCCCTATCTACGAGCATTTCAGGTAACGAGCGAGGCACTCGCAGAAAATGTTTCGATAGACGAGCTTCCGCTCACTTGACGAGTTGTCAGTGCTGATGCCGAACCGAACCGACCATGAGTGTGGAAAAGCATCAACTTGATAAAGAACCGACTGCACGGTGTGTGAACTTGCTTATTGTCAAACTGCTGTCGCATTTTAGGGTATTCTCAAACGAAGACAAAACCGGTATATACGGTCTTTGGAAAGGGGCAGAAAAAACGAGCAAGTGATAGTGAATAAAAACTCGGTCATGGGGGAGTGACATTCACAAGAAGAGAGCCTGCCTGACTCAAAGGTGGAGTCTCCTTCCCCACACCGTAACTCCTAACCTTTTTCCACCCCCTTTGCCCGTCGTCTGCCTTAATCAGGCAAGCAACTTCGTAAAACAAAGTATAACTGAAAACAGTAAAAACATTTATTTTAGTTACACCATAACATTTCATATCGATGTGTTTTTCTGAGGCGAAGCGGACTAACTTCATTTCGATCGTCTTAGATGGGAAAATTCGTCTCACACAACGATCTTTTCACGAGACGAGCTTAATGCTAGAAAGGATTCAACTTGACGGCCGAGGTT